GATGTGCTGCTCGTGGTAGTCGTTGTGCTGCGCGTGATGCTCGTCGTGCCATGCTCGTGGTATCCGATGTGCTGCTCATTGAAAGCGTTGTCTTGCTCATGAGTTTCGGCGTGCTGCCTAGGAGTACTCGTCGTACTGGTTGCGTGCTCCGCCGTGCTGCTCGTGGTACCTGTCGTGCTGCGGTCGTTATCCAGCGTGGTGCTCATGAGACCCGCCGTAGGCGTAGGCGCCGGCGTCGGTGCTGATGCCAGCGTGGGCGTAGGCGTTGATGCCGGCGCAAGCGCACGCATTGATGCGGACGTCGGAGCTGGCGTCGGTTCCGGCGGAGGCCCAGGCACTGGTGCTGGCGTCGGTGCTGGTGTCGGTGCTGGTGGAGGTGCTGGGCTTTGGTACCGGTGGAGACGCCGTCGTTTGTGCTGGCGTCGTCGCTGACGTCGGCCGTGTAGGTGCTGGCGTTGGTGCCGGCGTGGGCGCAGGCGTTAATGATGGCGTCGTCTTTGGTGCTGGCGTCGGAGCTGGCGCCAGTGCTGGTGTAGGCGCTGGTGCTGGAGACGGTGCAGGCGCTGCCGTTCGTGCATGCGTCTGTACTGGCGTCGGTGCTGGTGTAGGCGCTAGCGCTGGTCTCGGCGCAGGCGCCGACGGTGATGCTGGCGTAGGCGCAGGCGTTGGTGCAGTGCTGGCGTCGGGTGCTGGCGTCGGCCCTAGCGTATGTGCCGGCGTTCGAGCTGGCGTCGGTGCTGACGTCGGTACTGATGTAGGCGCAGCCGTTGGAGCTGGCGCAGGCGCCGACGTTCGCAGGCAGCCTGAAGCAGGGTTTATTCGACCGCGGGTCGAATGCAGGTGTAGGCGCTGGCATTAGTGTCGGGTTAGGCGTCGGCGTTGGTGCTGGCGTCGGAGCTGGCGTCGGTGCTGGTGTAGGCGTTGGCGTCGGTGAAGGCATAGGCACAAGCATGGGTGCTGGTGTCGGTGCTGGCGTCTGCGCTGGCGTAGGTGTCGGCGGTGGTGCTGGCGTCGGAGCTGGACGTCGGAGCTGGGGAGTCGGAGCTGGGGAGTCGGAGCTGGGGATAGAAGTGGTGGGTAGCGCACTCGTTATCCCATGGGGTGGGATAAGTAGCTGGGAGCGGGGTTTATTCGACCGCGGGTCGAATGCAGGTGTAAGCGCTGGCACTGGTGTCGGGTTAGGCGTCGGCGTTGGTGTTGGCATCGGTGCTGGCGTCGGTGCTGGTGTAGGCGTTGGCGTCGTAGGCACAATTGTGGGTGCTGGCGTCGGTGCTGGCGTCTGCGCTGGCGTAAGCGCCGGTGGTAGTGCTGGCGTCGGAGCTGGACGACGGAGCTGGGGAGTCGGAGCTGGGGAAAGAAGTGGTGGGTGGCGCAATCGTTATCCCATGGGGCGGGACAAGACGCCTGGAGCAGGGTTTTTTTTTTTTAGTCGACCGCGGGTCGAATGCCGGTGTAGGCGCCGGCATTGGTGTCGGGTTAGGCGTCGGCGTTGGTGCTGGCGTCGGTGCTGGTGTAGGCGTGGGCGTCGGTGAAGGCATAGGCATCGGCGTGGTGCTGGTGTCGGTGCTGGCGTCTTCGCTGGCGTAGGCGCCCGCCGTGGGGCTGGCGACGGAGCTGGACGTCGGAGTCGGGCGTCGGAGTCGGGGAGTCGGAGCTGGAGATAGAAGTGGTGGGTGGCGCACTCGTTATCCCATTGGGTGGGATAGGACGCCTGGAGCAGGGTTTATTCGACCGCGGGCCGAATGCAAGTGGAGGCGCTGGCATTGGTGTCGGGTTAGGCGTCGGCGTTGGTGCTGGCGTCGGTGCTGGTGTAGACGTGGGCGTCGGTGAAGGCATAGGCACAAGCGTGGGTGCTGGTGTCGGTGCGGTCACGAAGCTGCGGCCCATCGTCAGCCCGTCCCTCGTGTTGTACTTGTTTTTTCCTTCTTTTTTTCTCGGCGGGCTCATCGGAGCCTGCCTCCAGCCACTTGCGGCCACCTTGCGGGCGCGTAGATGCCAGCCAAGGTGCAGGTGAAGCGATGGTGCTGGCGTGAGTGCAGGCGTTGGCACAGGGGCCGCTGCTGGTGTCGATGGTGCTGTAGGCGCCGGGGTTGGTGCCGGTGTCGCTGCTGGCCTCGCCACTGGTATAGGCGCTGGAGCTGGGGCCGGCGTAGGCGCAGGAGATGGTACCCGCGTAGATGTGCACGTCGATGTTGGTGTAGGCGCTGGCGCTGGTACCGGTATAGGTGCAGGCGCTGGCGCTGACGTCGATTCTGGTGTCGGAGGTGCCGTAGGCGTCGGATTTGGTACCGGCGTAGAAGATAGCGTCGATGCTGGTGTAGGTGCTTGCGCTGGTGCCAGCGTAGGTGCAGGCGTTGGCGCTGTCCTCGGTGATGGCGTCGATGCGCTGTCGGCGCCGGATCTCGTGTAGGCGGCGATGCTGGCGTCGGTGCTGGTGAGGGCGTCGGTGCTGGCGTTGGCGCAGGTGCGGGTGTGGGCCCTGTCTTCGATGCTGGTGTCGATGTCACTGTAGGCGCCGGAGTTGGTGCCAGCGTGAGTGCAGGCGTTGGTGCAGGCATCGCTGCCGGTGTCGATGGTGCTGTAGGCGCCAGGGTTGGTGCCCGTATCGATGCTGGCGTCACTGCTGGTATCGGCGCTGGCGCTGGTGCCAGCGTTGTCTCAGAAGCTGGTGCCCGAATTGATGTCGACGTTGATGCTGATGGAGGCGCTGGGAGGCGCTGGCGCTGGTACCAGCATCGGTGCAGGCGTTGGCGCTGACGTCGTTTCTGGCGTCGAAGCTGCAGTAAGCGCCGGGGTCGGTACTGGCGTAGATGCTAGCGTCGATTCTGGTGTAGGTGCTGGCGCTGGTGCCGGCGTAAGTGCAGGCGCTGGCGCTGTCTTCGGTGATAGCGTCGGCGCTGCTGTCGGCGCCGGATCTTGTGCAGGCGGCGATGCTGGCAGTGATGCTGGCGGGCGTCGGAGTTGGTGAAGGCGTCGGCGCTGGCGTGGGCGAAAGTGCGGGCGTTGGCACTGACTACGGTGCTGGTGTCGATGCCACTGTAGGCGCCGGAGTTGGTGCTGGCGTCGCTGCTGGCGTCGCTGCTGGTGAAGGCGCTGGCGCAGGTTCCGGCGTAGGCGCCGGAGGCAATACCCTGGTAGATGTCGACGTCGATGCTGGTGTAGGCGCTGGCGCTGGTACCGGTATAGGTGCAGGCGTTGGCGCTGAAGTCGATTCTGGCGTCGGAGGTGCCGTAGGCGCCAGAATAGGTACCTGCGTAGATGCTAGCGTCGATGCTGGTGTAGGTGCTTGCGCTGGTGCCAGCGTAGGTGCAGGCGTTGGCGCTGTCCTCGGTGATGGCGTCGATGCGCTGTCGGCGCCGGATCTCGTGTAGGCGGCGATGCTGGCGTCGGAGCTGGTGAGGGCGTCGGCGCTGGCGTTGGCGCAGGTGCGGGCGTGGGCCCTGTCTTCGATGCTGGTGTCGATGCCAATGTAGGCGCCGGAGTTTGTGCCAGCGTGACTGCAGGCGTTGGTGCAGGCGTCGCTGCCGGTGTCGATGGTGCTGTAGGCGCCAAGGTTGGTGCCAGCATCGATGCTGGCGTCACTGCTGGTATCGGCGCCGGAAACTGTGTAGGCGGCGATGCTGGCGACGGCGCTGGTGAGGGCGACGGCGCTGGCGCTTGCGAAGGTGCGGGCGTTGGCACTGTCTGCGATGCTGGTGTCAAGACCAGTGTAGGCGCCGGAATTGGTGCCAGCGTCGATGCCCGCATCGCTGCTGGTGTAGGCGTGGGAGTGCTGGCCGTCGTGGTGGTGGTGGCGCCTCTCGTCCAAGGCATAGCAGGCGTGGAACTTTCTCGACACCAGAGGGGGTGCGCAGGGCGTGGTCTCTCACCGCGGCCCCTACGCACGCCTCTCGTCCAAGGCATAGCAGGCGCGGCACTTTCTCGACACCAGAAGGGGTGCGCAGGGGGTGGTCGCTGAGCGCGCCCGCTACGCGCGCCTCTCGCCCAGAGCGCGGCCGCTACGCGCGCCTCTCGTCCAGGAGATAGCAGGCGTGGCACCGTCTCGACCCCAGAGGGGGTGCGCAGGGGGTGGGTTCTCTCAGAGTGTAGGGCGACCAGAGGGGGTGCACAGGGGGTGGTTTCTTAGCGCGGTCTCTATACGGTCCAGGCTCGAAAGTGCGGCACGGGTGGCAGGTTCTTGACACCAGAGGGGGTCCGCAAAGAGGGGGTTCTGAGCGCGGTCTTTATACGGTCCAGGCTCGGAAAATGCGGCATGGGTGGCGTTTTTTCGACACCAGAGGGAGTGCGCAGGGGGTGGTCTCTGAGCGCGGTCTCTATATGGTCCAGGCTCGGAAGAGCGGCAGGGGTGGCAATTTCTCGACGCGGTCCGTGAGCTAGGTCTCTATACGGTCCAGGCTCGGAAAGCGTGGCAGGGGTAGCAGTTTCTCGACACCCTTAGGGCACTCAGGCTCCCAAGGCTTGACCGGCGTCACCGGCGGTATCGGTGGGGCAACGGCCACCAGCATCATTCTCGCATGTTTCATTTCAGCGAACATCAATCCAGACATCATACTGTAAGTATGTGGGGTTCCTCGGTAGCGTAATGTTTTACCCCCTCCCCCCCTTCGGCCACACGCAAAAGCGACCCTGGGCAAGAGTGACCTTTGGTGGGCGACCTCAGGGGGCCGCTGGGATGCCAAGTCCAATCGTGCAGGCCAATGCTAGAGGGCCCCTGTGGGCCCGCACCAGAGGTCACTCTGGCGAAAGGTGACCCCTTCGCAGATAGCCGACCCGAGTCGTGGACGATTTTTGCTGCTACGCGCGGCCCACCACTCTGCTATGATGGGATGTGGCCTCGGTGCTAAGCGCTCTCCGCGCATGCGCCAGCTAAGCTGCGTCCCAGGGCGGCCCCCAATTCCCCCCCTTCCCGCTAAGCCCCGTCCGAAGGCGGCTCCGGGCCGCCACGGCGAGCGGCCGGCCGCCCCCCGCCCGGCACCCGAGCGGCAGCCGCCCGGCGGGTCCTTCTCGGCGGTGAAGGCCCCGCCCACGCCGAGGAGAGGCGTCCCCGCAAGGGTCAGCCGGTCCGCGGGGTTGGGCAGGTAGCGCAGGTATTGCCCCTCCTGCGAGGGACGAAGGGAGGGGAGGGAGGGAAAGGAGGGAGGGAGGGAGGGAGGGAGGGAGGGAGGGAGGGAGGTGGAGAAGGAGGAGGAGGAGGACAAGGAGGGGGAAGAGAAAGAGAAGGCGGAAGGTTCCTCCTCCTCCTTCTCCTCCTCCTCCTCCTCCTCCTCCTCCTCCCCGTCCTCCTCCTCATCCTCCTCCTTTTCCTTTTCCTCCTCCTCCTCCTCGTCCTCCTCCATCCCTTTTCCTTATAAATAACTTCTCCCTGTCGGACCCCGAAGCCAATTTTTGGGGCGGACCAGGCGTTTCGCCTGAGATTTCCTCCCCACTTATGACTCTGAAGCTTTGAAAAACAACAGTTTCACGGATTGAGGGCGGCTCCTTTTCAAAATGTGGCTCTCGTCTTAGCACCGCGCAGCTTCGTTTTAAAAATTCGCCGGAGCTTCACAGATTGAGGGCCGCTCCTTGTCAAAATGTGGCTCTTGCCTGAGCGCCGCGCATATTCGTTTGAAATCTTCGCCAGGGCTTCACGGATTGAGGGCGGTTCCTTTTCAATACTGCGGCTCTTGCCTCAGCGCCGCGAACATTCATGATCAACGTACCAGATGTTGCGTGTTGGAAAGATTAAGGATTATGCGGGCGCAGCAGTTATGTTCATTCGTGGTCTTGAAGTCCCAAAAACGGCGTTTTGGCACGATTCTGGATCGTCAAGACGCAGCAGTCAGGTTAATCCGCGGCGTTGAAAACCCGAGAACAATGTTTTGGTATGCTTCCGGAAATTCGAACATTTGTCTTCCAACGAGGCAGTTCCCTCAATGGAAATGAACGGTTGTAGGGACATTGAAAACGGAGCTTGACAGGAGGGTTACTTCCAATATCGTTGATGACTCTGGGGTTTACACTGGTCCTCCTCCTCCTCCTCGTCCAAGTCCTCCTCGTCCTCCTCCTCCTCCTCCTCCTCCTCCTCCTCCTCCTCCTCCTCTTATTATTATTATTGTTATTGACACTATTTATGATTCGTATTCTTCGTATTCATCATATTCGTTTTTCCATATTTTTATAGTTACTAGTATTAGTATGTCTGATCGTATTAATATCATTATTATGATTAGTACTCGTATTCGCATTATGGTAATTATCATTATTAGTACGTTTCGTCTTACTATTTTATCAATCGTCTTACTAGCATGATCAGTATTAGTATTAGCACTGTTATGGATAGTAGTATGATTCGTACTTTTCGTCGTATCATTATTCGTATTATTCATAATGTGTTGGTGAGTATTAGTATGGTTAACACTGGTATGAGCATTACGTCTATTCTTACCAGTAGTATTTTTAGCGTTAATATTACCATCGTGTTCCTCCTGTCATTCTTCTTCGCCTGATTCCTCTTCGTTTTCCTCTTCCTACTCCTCCTCCGACTCCTCCTCCTCCTCCGCCTCCTCCTCCGTTTCCTCCTCCTCCTCTTCCCCCTCCTCCTCCTCCTCCTCCTCCTCCTCCTCCTCCTTCTCCTCCTCCTCCTCCGCCTTTTCCTCCTCCTCCGCCGCTTCCGCCTCCTCCTCCTCCTCCTCCGCCTCCTTCTCCTTCTCCTGCGCATCCTTCTCCTCCTCCTCCTCCTCCTCCTCCTCCTCCTCCTCCTCCGCCTCCTCCGCCTCCTCTTCCACATCCTCCTCTTCCTCCTCCGCCTCCTCCTCCTCTTCCTCCTCCTCCTCTTCCTCTTCCCCTCCTCCTCGTCCGCTTCCTCCTCCCCTCCTATACCTCATCCGCCTCCTCCTCCTCCTCCCCCCCCCCCCCCCTCCCCCTCCTCCTCCTCCTCCTCCTCCTCCTCCTCCTCCTCCTCCTCCTCCTCCTCCTCCTCCTCCTCCTCCTCCTCCTCCTCCTCCTCCTCCTCCTCCTCCTCTTCCTCCTCCTCAACCGTTTCGGCTCGAGTTGATTTGAGTGAACCTCGAGTTTGTGTCCCACGTCTTCGGAACGGCACGTGGGCACGGGCCAAACTGTGCAACGACGTGTGCGGCCAGACCGCCATCCTCTTCCGCGGGCCCCCCGCTGTCATGGCACCGCCGAATGGCCACTCGCAGAGACGCCAGGAGCTGGCGCAGCAGTGGCTGTGCAAGTGGTGCGAGCATCCATCTACTGGGCAGCGATGGTGGAACCATGCGGACAAGAAGGAGTGCGGGTCCTGCGCGCAGCCCAAAGGCCTGGTCTTCTTTGGCCCGGGGCCCCATCCAGGCGGATCGCCGTCGGTCTCGGCCAAGCAGAAGGCCACCGAGGCAGAGCGCTCCAAGTCCGCCTTGCAGGAGAAGAACCGCGAGATTGCCAGACTCAAAGAGCAGCTGGCAGCCAAGAACGGTCATCTAGACGCCATGGACGTCGACGCGGACCCCACGGAGCCAGATGCCCAGGCGGCGCTGGCCGAGCTTGCAGCGGCAATCCAGGCGATCGGGAGCCCGTCCGACCCAATCCTTGTCAAGGCGAAGCAGGACATGGCGCAGCAGCAAGCCGCTCTCCGTGCGAAGGTGCTGGCCGACAAACCGATCGGGGCGAAGCTGCACCTCCTCACCAACAAGTGCTCCACGCTTGGGAAGAAGCGGGAGCGCCAGCAGACTACGGTCGGCAAGCTCAAGGAGCAGCTGGCCGCGGTCCAGAAGCGGATCGCCAAGGCGGAGGCAGCCGTGGAGGCTACCAGCCGCGAACCCGCGGAGGTGGAGGCTGTGCGGGCTGCAGCGGCGGCACAGGCGCCTCTGCCCAAGACAGGCGTCCACTCGCTCCGCGCTGCCACCCCGTGCCTCGACATGGACGTCGGCGCGCTCGGCCTGCTCCTCCAAGGGCTTGGCGCGGACGGCAGCCTCGCTGAGAGCGCCTCGAAGAACTTCGAGGAGCTGCGCAAGTTGGAGCGTGCGGCCGCGGAGCGGGCAGCCGCCGAGCGCACCGCAGGCGCCGCCGCTCCTACCAATCCAGGAGGAGTACCGCAGCCCCAGCAGCAGCCTCCTGAGGGCTCCGCTGACGATGATTCGCTCGGTCCTGGCCCTGATGACGATGACGATTTGCCGAACCTGCAGTCCTTCTGGAGGGAGGCTTTCGATGCTGAGCCTCCTGGCGACGAGACCCAGCTCCGCGCCGCCATCAAGGGGCTCGGCGGCGCGCTCGGCTCGCACCAGAAGAAAGCCAGGACCGGGTAGTCTCTCACGCTGGGTGCTAATGTCTGGGTTGTGCCCAGCCTCAGCGTGTGATTTCCCAGTCAGGTTGCCCGACTACACTTCTCCGTGGACGGGTACTCGACTGACGCTTGCAGGGCCTGCTGCTGATCACGCAGGCTCCTCGTCCAAACCCTTTGCCCGACTTGCTCGTGAATTACCACAGGCGGTGGGAGCTGGAGGTGGGACGAGTACCACCTGCGCGGCGTGAGCGGCCTCCCCATCGCTGTGGATTGTCAGAACGCTCTTTGGACTGACGTGATGCCTCGAGGTCGGCAGATAAGGTCAAATGATATGCGGTCACTGCGAATACGTCGTCCTTCGGCCCTCTCATCGACCTGCTGGGCACCAATCAGTATGATAAACCAATTTTGTTGATCCAGGAACACCATGCGCTGGGGGCAAGCTAGACGACATACAGGCGCAGGTTGCTGGCAAAGGTTTCAGTGGAGCATGGGTCCCCGCGACTCCGACCGATCGAGGCGGCACGTCAGGCGGGGTAGCCATCCTGAGCCCTAGCAACGCGCTGGTCGCCGCCCCTCCCGCTGGACTTCCGCACGAGGTGTACCCTGGCAGAGCTGCAGCGGCCAAGGCGCACTGGGGGCGGCCTAACGGCATTGTGATGTTGTCTGCACATTTAGTGGTTGACGCTGGCGTTAAGGGGGAACATCTGCATCCTCGATGCCGTGGCGAAGTACCTCCACCAGCTCAACACCCTGAATGAGCACTGGATCATCGGAGGGGACTGGGACACAGACTGCGATGACCTGGACGCGTGGTTCCATGCCGTCAATGGAATCAGGATCGCCGCCGACTTGCCGACGTGCATCCTGGCCATGCCAGGTACTACCAGGAATTTCTTCTACGTGTCGGAGAACCTGGTGCCGCTGCTCTTGGAGGTCGAAGTCCATGCGGGCTGCGACCTGTTCCCGCACCGTCCTGTCGAGCTGGGCATTGCCACCCAGCCGAGGAGCATGTGCTGCAGAGTTCCAGTCGAGCCCCGTGCACTTCCTGTCGCGCCCAAGACCGGGTGTGGCCGCTTCCCTCCAGTCGCGGAATGGCGCATGATCAACAACATGTGCGTGTATGCCCAGTCTCCTGATGGCCTTGCGGTGTGCTGGGACGCTGTTCTCTCAGGCCTCGAAGCCGAAGTTATGGATCGAAATGATAGATTGGAGAGTTCGGCGCGAAAGGCTTTTCTTGGAACGGCTGGTTCACCTCAGCACGCTTGGAAGGAAGCCAAGTCGGCAAAGCCAAACAAATCGTCCGAACTCAATGCCTGGAAGACCCTGGCGAGATGGCTTCGGTACCTGAGATCGGCTCGCGTTAAGTTGCTGTCGCAAGTGGCCAGCCTCCACGACGGCGATTTCGAGCTCAACCTCATGTCTATGTCCAAGCAGTTGTATTTCCTGCACGGATTCGCGCGCAGAGCGGCCAAGACTCAGTGGGTGCTCGAGCGCGTGACGCCTGAGGCCAAGGCTTTCATGTCCGACGTGCCGCGTAGCATCGTTGACCCCAAATTCGACCATGTTGCACAGTCTTTGATCGACCTTGCGGGCGCCAAGATTCAGGAGTGGCTGACTGTCTCAAGTGATGAGTGGTCGGATTGGGCAGAAAAGGCTTTCAAGAATGGGGCGGGAGCTGCTCATAGGTTCTCCAGGATTCAGGAATTGCAAGAGCTTGCAGCTGCTGACACCAGGCCTCAGCCTTTCCAGCGCGCAGATGATTGCATCGGTGAATGGGGCAAGATATGGAGCATGCACGAGTGTACCGCAGTCCCGCTGCCCCAAGGTGCTGACACGTGGGA